TTACTGCGAAAGAGTAGGAAAATAGGTTACCTTTCCCTTTTACTCTTAGAAAATTATTGTTGGTAATATAATTAACTGTAATCTATATATAAGTTTTTATAGCGCACAGGTAACAAGCATACAGAAAGATATTTACAAAGCGCAATTACAAAATTATTTATCGCTATATGTAATCTGCAGAATTTTTAATAGAAATATTCATAAAATCAGTGATAGAAAATTTCAATCACAACCGTCGAATTTACTAGTCAACAATTTAGTAATGGAACGACGATGTTAGACGTACGCTTGTCTTCAGAGCACACATTGTACTTGTAAAAAAAAAGGATATATTCATTTTGTCTCTAGAAATCTGATTCGTATATATCTAGGAATAGATTCGTTTACTACTTGTTTATGGAGCTAATAATAATTGCTATATGTGTATATACCTGTTTACTACAATGCGTTGCTGTGGTCTCCATGTTTGGCTACACAAACATTAAGGTGTAATAAATACTTGCCTTTGACAGCTCGTGTATTCTGCCAAGTAGATGTTAAGGGTTAGTTACTTCGTTGTAGTGTCGCGATCCAACTGCAGCTTCGACCATTTGATGTTTGCCAGGTATTAAAGAGAAGATTCCCATTAGGATCTTCTAGAGTGTTAGATTTCTTATGTAGTTGGTAAGGAGTTTATACACTAACATTAACATCACATAGCTCCGATAAATCGTTGCGATTAGTAATTATTCATATATTTATTGTGTATCGCCTTCTGATATTTATAACGTCATTCCAGATTTCCTTGGTCTCTCCATTTTATTAAAAAAAATAAAGAATTTTGTCTGGTACGTCTGTAAATATTGGAATTGCGATCATATAAATACTTACAGGTATCTCCTACGTACATATAAACGTGTAATAAATTGCAATATTTATAAATATTTATTGTTAAAGTTATCTTTATATAAATTAATATTTTCTACTTAATCTACTCTCGTTGAGCCTTCCTTCTTTTAGTGATTTACATATTTTATTATATTTAATGTATGTTTTTGATATTATATACTCTAATAGTGTTTTAGAGATTTTTACACATTATCATGTATATAGTTTGCTATCTCTTTTACTGTTTCTACTTGATGTTTTGTGTCACACAAAATGTAATGTTTTAATGCTTATTATTCCATTGTTTCCTCTTAAAATGCATATTCTAGTAACTTTTTTTTTTAAATATTGGTCTTTCCTATTCAGTTGTAAGTTTAACATAATACTAATTAGTATCTAAGGTAGGTATTCTGGCCGCGATTGTAATGTCAACGTTTCAATTGGTGATAATTGTACGGAATCCATCAAACATTAAGTCATATGCTTAAACTTAAAAAAATATATGGTGTATCATTTGTTTACTTTTCTAGTTTAAGTTTGTTTCAAATTAATATGAAATAATGTCACATGGCATATACAAAGTATAATAGATATTTTTCTCAATATTTCGATATCACCGTTATGATGTATCAAATTATTTTCTTATAGTACTGAGTACTCATAAGTAATCTTTTTCTTGTAGATTTGTGCTTATATTTTTGTAAGCGTCGGCGGTAGAGAGCGATCATTATAAAGAATTGAACATTCGAAATATTTACAAAGCAATTATCTAATGATCTGTTATTATATGAAATTTATTTTAAGATTTTTATTAATTTTAATATTTTTCCTTTGAAATCTCATTTATTATCTGTTTGTTAGAGAAGAATGTAACTGACCACAAAATATTATATACGAGTCAAAATCGCTATTAGGTCATTATTAGTCATTCTAATGATTGAACTATCATTTTATTAAATTTTATAATATTTATTTCTTATTATTATTCGATTCGTATGGATTCATTGGCATGCAACCATCCCTACTCGCCGGCATTATGAAGTAAAGCCGCCAATTAGAATGTGAACATTATAAAGCGGTGCTTATACAAGTGATTGTCACATTTCTTATGACCTACTTATTAAGCGACGCAAACGACGGGTTGTGAATAGTACGAAAGGTAGTTTTAACTGCGAGATATCGGAGCTGCAGCGGGTTCAGTATTTAGGGACCCTTGTAAAAACTTCGCGAGGGGAGCCGTCTAGCTCTTCTGGTTTGATAGAGATCCGATGTATATTATAGTATGTATATACATAACAGCTAATGAAAATGAAGATCTGAATTTGTTGCTACGATCTGATATGATAAAGTGATCTTTAATGTGTTATGGTTATGTTTGTATTTTGTTTGATCTGCAATGTCAGGGAATCTGTATAGGGATTTGGTTAGTTTATGGCGAGATACGATACGTTCTTTATTTAAATTATAATGCTCAAAACACATGGTCGCCGTAAGAAATTGTCGAATATTGCTGATTTTATGTTACAATATGCTAGAGGTAATTATTAATAAAACCGTTGGATTACTAGTTTAAAATCAGTTTCATTTTAAGTTTAGTTATTACCAGTTATCATTTGAGTATTATTCGGAGTTTAATTGTGGGCATTTGATATAACATTTATTTACATAGCTATTTATATTTTTAACTAACATCAAGAAGCAGAGGTTCTGAATTTTACTTTTTTATTATTTATTTTTATATGTTCTATTTTCACTAATTTAAACTGATATTTTTAGTTTTTTTTTATTTCCATATTAGTCACAAATTTTGTTAAGAAGTTAGTTTATTTTTTCTAAATGCTTATGCATTCTGTATAATTTTGTTAATTATTTTGTTAATCCAGCATGTATTAATACCAGCAAAGATCTGTTTATATAGTGTGTTATAGCCTAGTTTGATTTGAGTGTCAGATTAAGTTGTGTATGTAATTTTAAGTTTTTTTTTATTCAGTGGTATATGGGAAGTGGTCATTAAATTACTAGTCAAATGATTTGTGCCAATTATATAATATCTATTGTTGTATTAAGGTGGTTTCTTGATACCGGTGTGGTGTGGTATTTCACGTTAAAATTATATGTTAAATACCACTGCATTTGCCACATTTCAAGTATCAAGATGCTACTTTTATATTCAAAATTGTAAGAGATATATGTTAAATTCGAGAATACAGTAGTATTCTTCAATATTTGTAGCAGTTACACGTTATATGGTTCTGGATGGTAATCATTGTTATACGGAAATCCAAACAGACTATCTGTAGAGTATTTGATACTCCCTTGTTATTACTGTCTGATTTTTTGTTATCTATTTTACGATTGTTATTCGAATTAATGTATTTTTAAGATAGTATCTAAATTATAAACCCTTCTCTTATACCATTGATGCATAAACAGGAGTTTTGTGAAATTGTGTGTAATTATCATATGTAAAAGGAATTTATTGTGGCGTTTGATGAATTTTGCTTTAAACGAGTTTTATTTTACAAAAAAAAAAAACCGTAACTAATGTAATGTGAAACATGTATGTATTTAATATCAATTAAAAATACTTATCTCCACTAAGAAAGATGCTATATGTTTGCTCATACTCTTGCCTCTGAATAAATTTTAACAATTTTGTATAACTGAATTAAAAGGTTTCTTTTTATATTAAAATTAACGAATAATTGATGCTATTAAATTATAGGGTGCAAAATAAAATAAAAAATGCTATTTGAGGAGAATACTGTTATTGAAATGTATAACTATGAACAGTATCATGGGAATTACTGTGAAATATCTATCAAATATACAACGTACATTTTTTTTCTAAAGAAATGTTCAATGAGACTACATGTCCGGTGAAATATTAGGACTTAGTGATTATTGGAAAATCTCAAAACTCATCATTTACCTCTAAAAGAATACGTACTTTGTTAATTTGAACAAAAATCCAAAAGCGTTTTGATTGTTGTTTAAAATATTGTGTGGTTGTCAGTATTCCGTGCCATAGCACGTGCTGTTGGTTCAGCATTACTTTATTGGAATTATATTAGTATTAAGAGCAAATGCAATTCATCAAACGACACAAAACTAACGCAGGCAGCAACTAGAAAGTGTACAAATTGATCATTTCAAAAGCAACGAAACTTTGTATACCCTGAAATTTGAACATCAAACTGAAGTTGTGTTTGTATAAATGTGTACCTATTTATTGGATTTGTGTACCAATTAGATAAAGATTTGGACATGTACTTAGTGGTGGGTGTTGCGTTGAAATGTAAAAGTAGTCTGGGCGGCTTTCACTCTCTAATAGTTCTAGTCATTTTTAATTCCTCCGTGTTATATCTATACATAAACAGTATACCTGTATATGGGTAGACAATATAATATTAATCAATATGAATGTTAAACATATAGGTGAAACTTAATATATCTATTAAATTTGATGTCTGTTCCATGATTCGTTTTATTTATTTACGTATTTCTCTGCGCCCTCGATATGTTTATCACCTAATTATGATGACCATATCTTGTCGTTAAAAATATTTTGTATAACAAAAGATCGTCACAATTGTTTTTCTAGATGAGGTAATAAGAGGCATTGTTAACTATCTACTTCGTGCCAGACGCAGCATTTGAGATACCCGCATTTCGGTAGGTATATGAAAGTTACTTTGTCAACAAAAATAGTTTTATTAAAATCAATATTAAGTAATTTCGGAGTAAACCTGCAGTTTAGCTCAGAATGCAACTAAACTCTCAAATGATTTATGTATAATACTCTCAAAAATGGTAATTTTCGTTTACTTATAATGAGGGAGGGATATGAAGGAGCTTATGCTCGGTACTACCACTCTTATTTTGTCATTCCAGCTACGTAAAAGAAAATTTTATATCTCATCGAATTAGTCATCAAAACTTATTAATTTTCCTCTAAATTTTCTTTTTGACAACGTTTTTCGTTAACGGTATGACAACATGATGGAAATGTCTAACCAAAACTTGAATGATACAAAATAAATTTTAATAATTGCATAAACATAAAACAAAAAATGTAATAAAATATAATTTTAAAAATATATGTTTAAACAAACCTAAAATAGGATCTGAAAATGTTTCGTAATTTGTATAAACGTATTCTTTCGGTACCTCGGTCCCTTTCGGTACTAAGGGCTGGATACCAAAATTTTGTTATGTCACAGGCACTAGCCCAGATAGAGAGGGAATGTGAACAGTTTTGTCCAGTGCCAAGATTTCCACCACAAAAGGTTAGAAAAACACACATTTATCGAGAACATAATACATCTAGCACTACTAGGGTCTATTGATAAGCTTCAGATTGTAGACTTAGTTTAAATATAGTAATAATAATGTACATAGGTATCTTCCCTGTAATTTACCTACATGTTTAATTTAGATAATTAAAGTCTTAAATTAGTATTTATATATGTAGGTAAATCGACGAAGGAGAAGAGAGTGTCGTAACGGTAGTTAGGTTTCCGCATTGAATAATAGTGATCTCACACATGCCAATACAACTCAGCATAATGCTTCAATTACTTTCCAGCGTTGATTTTCATGGTAGTTGTAGAAGTAAAGAACACAATATAAATCCAATCAGATGGACCATAAGCTTGTTTATCATTTCAGTTAAGAATCTTAAAAAACCCAAACGATAAATCTTGGCATGTGTTGTAGGTGACAGTGGTAGGTGCCGGTAGCGACGTAGGACGCATTGCATCTTTGTTTCTCAAGCAACAGAACATAATTCGAACCCTAGCTTTATACGACGACGTACCGGAGCGATTCGTGCTTGGTGTTGCTAACGATATTGCTCATATAGACACCAGTACCGCTGTGGAGGGCTATCAGGGACGAATGTTCTTGAGACCAGCTCTTGATGTAAGTTATTGTAGTTTAAAAAAGGATTTTTAGCGTATAGCTTTGTATATATAATTAAAAAATATGGAATTCGTATTTAACTTTTCCAATGAGCAAACTAACTTTCTCGGCAAACTAGGTCCAGTCTTTGGTACAAAAAAACTGTGCAAGTCACCTAATAGTTTAAATGTTGTAGAACTCAGATGTGGTATTAATTTGCGGTGGTTCTTATGTGATGCCGCCGTGCTGCAGCAACCCCGACCGGGAGCTGTTCTTCAATAACATGCAACTGGTGCGTACCACGACGTTGGCGGTGGCGCAGTTCTGTCCTCAAGCGGTCATCGCCATACAGACGCCGCCGGTGGACTGCAACTTCGCATTGTGTATACATGTTAGTTTTTTGTTATGGAACCTAAGGAGAAATAAATTAAGGTCCCATCTGGTGGGAAGTGCTCACCGTCGTCTATAATGTCTGTTATAGATTCATATATGTGTATATGAATCTATCTATCTACTCATGCGTCCCATTCTAGAGGACTAAGATGTCATGCCACATGAAGTGTTTTAAGGTTGGCGACCTAGTAACCAAAATACACCTTACAAATCAAGGTGCTCGGAAGCAGTATGGCCCATGCTCTTCGCCTGTTCGAATTTTAAAAACAACTACAAACAAACCAATCTGCTTATCGGCTGAAATAGGGCATGAAGTACTGGTCTAGACAACTCTGTACAAAAACCGTGGTATACATTTAATGACGATTATTGGGAAAGGTAATATCAGTCATTGCACTTGATTATATAACTTTACAAATTCAAATCAAGAATACATTTATTTCATGTAGGCCTAATGACCTACATATATACATGTATTGTTAATGACTATACTTAGTCATATCAACTTTGTATTAATATTTTCTCCATATCGATGAATACTTATCAAATAGATGTCTATTTTAAATCCGAACGTACTTATAGACATTACAAACTGCCCGTGCGTACGACAAGCGACGCGTGTTGGGTGTAAACGCTATCAATGCCATGCGTGCTAATCAACTGTTCTCTACCGTAACTGGCGCGGACCCTGGTATCTCCACCACGCCGGTGGTATGCGGCACAGGCCGCTGCACTCGAGTTCCTGTATTCTCCGCAGCTAAAGCTGGCAACTTCCCGCAGGTTCTATCTATAAACACTTAACAAACGATAAGAACGATATAATATTGTGTCCAGACTACGACAAAATTGAATTTAAATCGCATTATTAAAGATAACTCAAAAACTACTAGCAGATCTTCATTCAATTTGTATGGAACCACATGAGATTAAGCATCTGCTTATCAACAGTTGAACTGAGATTCTCCTACATTTTTAAGTAGGTTGAAATTGAGGGAAAAATGAAGTCAAAGAGTTAAAGAACAAGAAGCAGAAGTCGATTTTGTTGTTAGCTGCCTTTACACGTACGCTTTCACGTAGGAAAAAATGTGTATATGAATGTAGATAGAGGACGAGAAAAACCCAGCGCGCCGCCTTCCATGGCTTTCAATCGTGCGTGCTTTGGTGACTTCTTGTAATAATTAATTATCATTGCAAAATGGCGAACATCTTACCAGGTAACAAGGACAATTATAGAGTTATTGCTAATTTATAAATCTTAAACGAGTCAAAATCTGTAGATAAACTAATAAAGTTTTAGAAGAAAGTAATTTGACATGAAATTTTCACGATATTAGCCGTGAAAGAGTGCTCAAAAAAATAAAAAACGATTGCGCGGTGACTTTCCCGAGCTAAATCGTGAGCGCTTCTGATCGCGTTTGAAAGAACGTGTCGTTTAAAGGCAGCTATTAGTAGTAGCTCCATTTGTATTATTTGTTAGTTAAAAAAACTATTTCATTACTATCTAACACTATTCGTTTATAGTAATGTATATACCATATTTAATGCTATTTGCACGTACAGTCACAAGTTGATTGCCTTACTCGTCTGGTGCGTGAGGCTGACGACATCATTTGCAAAGTGAAGAGCAACAACGAACAAGGGCACTTGTCTATTGGATTCTCCACTGCTAGATTTGTTGTCAACATTATGAAAGGTAATTGCAATATTATTATTTCATTATAAGTAATCTACAGTATGTTTATTTCTGTTTTGGTAAACATAGTACAGCAGAACAGGTACAGTCAAGCGAGCGTACTTTTCTATAGATTGCGGCTCTCGCTTCCGAAAATGATTGAGCTTAACAAACAGCGTTCTGAATTATTTCTAGATTATTTTTTCTAAATCTATTCGTGAATTACAGAAATTTTGCTAGATATTAGTAGAACAACTACGACCTTCTTACAATATGTTTTGCAAATGAAATTTTTTTATCTAAGCTATTATTTTAAATTTTGTATATCTTTTATTTGTATTCACAATAATACACATGTCTTAAAATCAAATCAAAAATACGTTTATTCAGGTATGCCTTACCACAGACATAATAAATCAGACCTACTGACTGTTCGGAATTTAGTTTCAAACAAAAAGAACAGACAAGAAATGCAGTTCCTCTTTTAATCAGATTGCATAGATAAATATAACAATATGTATGTTAGATATGTAGGATAGGATCTTAGATAGATTTTTAGGACGAATACTATTAATCACCAGCGTATCCTATTAAAATAATGCCACTAAAATGTCACACATAGGTCTGTTTGAAAAGCCAACATTCATCGAGAGTGCCCTGGTGGAGCAAGGAAATCCAGAGAAGTGTTACAACATGCAATACTGCGCCACCCCAGTCACGGTAGGAAAAGGTGGTATAGTGGAGTACGCTGTGCCTCCGCTCAATGACTCGGAAACACAGTTGCTTGAGTATAGCAAGTTAGCATCGTCATTTAAAATAAAAACTATTAGTTATTATATTTGCATTGAATTGCTCTATTTACGTGTGTACTAAGTATAAAGTATAATGGACAAATTAAGTCTTAAATCAGTCCCGATTTCTTATACCATGTAAATCTGTTTTATAAGACCATTATTTGAAACTTTTGTATCTGCTACAGAAGTTAATCTATCATATGTGAATGTGAAGCATATGAAAAATGAAATACATAAATATCAGCCCCGAATGATTCGTAATTGCTGAGAAAAATTGAGATTACTATCGTTAATATTTGCGATGTGTCGTTTTAAAATATGTGGCTTGCTTCGCTACCACAAAGGCGATTATTGGAACAACTATATTTTTAAGAATAAAATACAGCTCAATTATTCGCTGATAACGTAGTATTATGCACGGAAGGGGATAGTTAGTAATGTGGATTGATGACCCCATTTCTCACAGTATGCCATGTCAGTTTAACCTCTACGCAGCTTCCCATGGAAACCATCAAATATAAAAATAAATTCCTGGTGAATTTTGTAGAACTCAGGTCAGTTGTTTTCAAGATACACGGACTGATTTCATCTGAATCCTGATCAATTCAAGCTGAATTCATCAGTAATTAATGTTAATCACTTCCCGGCCCATTTGCATCTATCGTAGGCCTTCTACGAGGTGACATATGACTGCTAGTTCTCATTATTAACAATCTCTTCTACGCCTATTTGTTAGTTGGATATATACATTACATATATATTACATTGTCAACACCTAATAATAAAAATAATGTTCTTTATTTGTTTCAAATAATAAACTGTTACAATTGCTGCTTATTATAAAATTAAGGTGTATTAATCAAGGCAAAATTAACCTATAACCATTAGACCTATTACTCAGAGAGGCCAGTGAGTCACCCTCTCTGCTATTCTGTTATAGCCTTTCTGTTTTAACGTTATTATAATTATTTCCATATCTGCAGATGTGATCTAGAAGATATGCTGAACTTGGGTCGCAGTTATGCGGTAGGCGACGAGTACTATCTACATCCATGCAAATGTTTCTCATGCTGCACTCCACAGGACTGCAAAGAATGCGCTGACTGTAACGCTACTGCCAAGATATAGAGAAATAATACACATTAATTTTATACGAAACTTTAAGCCAAAAACATAATGAAGCAGAAAGGTCTTATACGGGTTGAATTTATGAATATATTATATTCATAAATACAAATGTTGGTATAGTGCTTGTGCCAACCAATATAATCATTTTACGATTGTATTGGTTTGGAAGTATTTCTATATATTCAGGAATGTTTTTTTTAATACTAACAGTATTAAAAATATTCCTGAATAAATTAAGAAACTCGTTATATAACGAACCAGGAACAATTTAAAATAGAAAACTCAAATTCACTTTTTTTAAATTATCTATAACTCAATTTCTTTAACTTTTCGACGTTACGATTCCGTTTTGTTTAATTATACAGAACTTTAAAATAATGTTTTTTTTTATAGACATAGAAACTGTTGATCACTAAAAGTAGTTTATTTTTAAAATGCTAAGATAATACATATATATTAACATGTATCAGAGATGGCTGACTGGTATAACATACTACAGGTTCCGTAATATTTTCTCGCTTTTTATATTATGTATATTAGAGGTAAACAAATATATATTATCACAGATAAAATAATATTACATAGTATTAGTATGTAATATTATGTTATCTGTGGTATTAGTAAGTAACCTGCGCAACTTCGCCTGCATCACACTTGACTTTTATCATTATACTAGCTACTCGCCCCGACTGTGCACGGGTGTACATGTATTATATATAAAACTTCCTCTTGAATCACTGTATCGATTTAAAGAAACACTTCAAAATCCCTTGCGTAGTTTTGAAGATTTAAGCGTACATAGGGACAGACAGCGACAGCGACTTTGTTTTATACTATACAATGATAATAATGATGATATATTAATAAATAGGTGCTGTTATTCCTTATACACGTATATATATTAATAGATTATCCCATAAGGATTGACATTGGACGAAATAATGAACGTGTGGTACGACCTTGCCTGCTGAAGGTCGGTGGGGGCACTCCCCACCGCCTCTCCGGGGATTAGCAATTCACGTGATTTTTCATTATTAAGCAATAAGCGGAGAGCAAATACACATTTATAATATTTTTTAATATATATAATATTTTAGGAAAATTCACACAGCGCCTTAGCGTCTTCTAGTCCCGCGAGCTAAGCAGGGCTTGTGTTATGGGTACTAGACAACTGTTTCAAATACACACATATTTTTTTGTAAATACATACACAATATATATATAGAAATCATCCAGACCGATACAAACAATTATACTTATGAATACAAATGTGAATGCCGCGTGAGGAATCGAACCCGCGACCATTGCGGCAATAAGGCGGTGTGCTACACCACTAAACCACCGAAGCAGTCGAATTTATAATAGTTTTGGTTCTTTTTTACAATATAAAATAGTTGACGGCCTTATTGGTCTAGTGATTTAGCACACTGCCTTATTGCCGCAATGGTCGCGGGTTCGATTCCTCACGCGGCATTCACATTTGTATTCATAAGTATAATTGTTTGAGGGGTCCAATCCGCGACGGGTTGCTTTCTTCGTCCGATACAAACAATTGTATTCACCTGTATGACAGTTTGTATTGGTCTGTGTGTTTTCTGTATGTATTAAAAATATATTTAAAAATAAATGCAATTTACGATGTATAAACCCGAATAATATGAAACAAATTGTGTTCAACGAGTTGCGGCCGCTTGTATTTTGTGGCACATTAATCCTACACCCTTCAAACTGAGATTAAATGTCGTTTACCAACTATACTATAAATATGAACCTACTTATGGAATTTTTAGTGCAATCTATAACTAATGATGCTGCTGACTGCATAGGCTGAGATTCGTGAAAATTAAGACATAAATATGTTCATAGAAGTGCTCAAGGAACAGATTTCGGATGGAAATAATATTATAAGGAAATCTATGTCTTGAGTAAATAACGCTAAAAGTATTCTATGTGTTTATTATAGAAGCATTTCATTTATCTGTGCTCACTGTTATTTTCTCTATGACGAACATCCAAACATGTTTCTGATTTCTTTTTGGGTTGACTTTTCCCTTTTCAGGGAAAGACAAAAGAACTGAGCCTATAACGCCATGATCTTCAGTAGTGTCTAAGATTTGTGACTTTTCAAACAACTGGCATTTGTAGATTTTTAAATGATCTCTTATTATTATTTTAACTGTATTAACAATGTAACCAACGATCAGGTTACACTGATGTGGTCAGGAGTTGAATTTATAACTACAACTTTGAACAAATAATTCAGTCAGAAGGTAGTAGGTATACTTATAATATAACAATAATAATAATCCTGGAGAATGTCCACAGCGCCGTATTGGTAATCCCAAGCAACGTACAGCTTGCTTATGGGTACTGCAAAACTGATATATAAACTTATAAAATACACATAGAATACATCTAGATCACTACAAATAATCATACTCTTGAATACAAAATTATTGCACCATGCGTGGAATCGTACCCGCGACCCTCGAAAGTAACGCGTTGTGCTAAACGGCTAAACCACTTCAGCAACAATTAAAAAGATGAGTGTTGCCGAATATGACAATAGAACACATATTTATTATCTCAAAGAATAGATAATTTATTAACACAAGTCTCAAACTTTTGACAGACTAATAAACGATTTAAATTCAATGCCATAACGTTCAACATTCAATGGATAGTTCTAGTTTATTCTAGTAATGACGGATCATCCCTGGAACAACAAATACTTATTAGGTTTGTTCAGTAAGCCATGGCACGTGTATATAACGCGGTGAAGGCCTCCGTTCTATTGCGTGGGCGAGCATCCCCAGTGATTGCCAACCCTACTTCAGTACGTAGCTCGGCATCGCGCAGTTTGCACTGTGAATAGCATTGAATCTGGAAAAATAGTGAGTACATTCAACATATATATTTTTGTTTTTACTTTTATTGATTTCTTTAATTTAAAAGAACACTAACTACTTTTTTTTTAATACTTTTGAGTGCTCGCTCCGTCTTTATGACTTCATTAAATAGTGATACCCCGACCCGGCTTCGTTCGGGTGCTAAGTGCTGAGTGAATGAGTTTCGAATAGTGTTAAATATCCCACTATTAATAAAATAATTATATCAAACTATTATAATTTGTAAGAATAACAGATTCTTACAAATTTTACATATTTTACTTTTAGTAATGTCAATATAGCCTTTTAATATAGTTGCCCTTGCCTATAAAATTTCTATTAAAAAAGTTTGGCGCCAAAATATTGACACGTAATAGAAGAAAATATTATACAGAGACTGAAAGTAGAAACATGAGAGCAAATATATATTGTCTAATTGTACATTATTGTTTAGAGCATAGATTTCGATATAAATCGGTACACTGTATTTTATTTAATTAAACAAATATATTAATTGTATATACAAGCTTTATTATTCTGAATAATGTAAGTTTAAAACAGCGTAAGAATTTCTCAAATCGGTGGTTCCGGAGTTTTATAACAAAATCCGGTTTCTATCTCTCTACGTTATATTAGTAGAGAAAAAATAGGGCTTTTTAGTTGACAATTGTAGTAGTAATATTGAAAGAATATTTTTTACTACATACATATGAATATACTAATATAATACATATTTTTAAAATTTTTGTCTGTCTGTCGGTCTGTTTGTTCCGGCTAATCTCTGAAATGGCTGGATCGATTTTGACGGGACTTTTATTGGTAGGTAGCTGATATAACAAGGAGTAACTTAGGATACTTTTATTTTAGAAAAAAAAATTAAATTCCACCCGGACGAAGTCGCGGGTGCAGTTAGTAATTAATATTATAGTTTGTATTAGTCTGTGGTCTGCGTGTTTTCTATATATATAGACCATGTATTTAAAAAAAAGTATTTAAGTATTTATATCGGTTGTTTAGTACCCACAACACACGTTATGCATAGCTCGACTAGATGGAGCTGTGTGGATTATCCAAGGTTATTTTTATTATTATTTAATAGAAAGAAAAATTATATTTATATGTAAGAAAAATTATCTTGCATCAAAAATAAAAAACTCTATCAAATATCATAAATACTTCTAATATCATAATCTTCATAATATTTTCCTTATCTTGTAAAATTATGGAAAAACACTTCGATTATTTATTAATTAATAATGTTTATATAAACGTTGCACCTTGACATAAGTTGTTTAAAATATTAAATTAATAATATTTAGACTTCATTCCGAGATGGCGATGTTTCAAGAGAAATTGTATCCGAACTGCGACGCTAGTGTATGGCTGAGATCTTGTGAGGAAGAGATTGTTGATCCACTACAAGGAGTCGTCACGGGTATGTAATTTAATATAATCTTATATATATATTTCCCCTGTTATGTTAGTTAGTTATTATTGTTATGTTAGTTTCCATACTCCTCCGAAACGGCTTGACCGATTTTTATGAAATGTTATACGTATATTCTTTTTTTTTTCGGAGATGTAGGAATTGTCCCGAGACATCATCGTGGTGTAGGTATATAATTGTAATCAGTTAAATTAAGAAGAGGAGAATAAATATATGTTTGTATACTTATCATTCCACTAATGATACGAGAATGTCTACACATTAAAGGTTTTAGAAGCTGATACACAAAACATTCAATAATGTAAAAAAAATATTATCAATCTATTTTTTTATTGGGGGTTTTAGGCCATTTTCAGGTGCTAATACCTGTATCACTGCGACCTGCATAGATCTATTGTGTTCGACCTTTTTTAAAGTTCGCTACCTATTAGTCTTAGGGTACAATGTAACTGGCATGTGCTTTTATGTAGTTTGTACGAAAGTCCCTGAATATCAAAGAATTAAATATATATATATATATAGGTGTCTATTTCATTGAGGTATTTCACTGAGTACCTATACTTTAAAACCAACCTGAAAAGGGCAAAATGACCGCTGGATAAATTGCTGTTGTTGTTATAAAATATAACACAATTAACCAAAACTAAGCTAAAGAAATTACAAATTTAACATAGTTCGCTAAACGCAAACACGAGCTTTGAAGTCTATAATTTGAAAGAAATGGCCTATGCCGCTCTTAACCATACATGAGAGAACATAATCATTAATTTTCTTATTTCATAAATATTTTCAGGAGAGATACCCAAGTGGCTTCGGGGAACATTGTTACGAAACGGACCTGGCTCATTGAAAGTTGGATCTACGCGTTTTGAACACCTTTTCGACAGTTCGGCTTTACTACACAGGTTTGTATATTATAATAGAAATTAACTTGGTTACATAAATGACAACAATGTTTTTATATATTTATTGTAGGAACTTCGAATTCGAATTGAAAATTATTAAGAGACCCACAGCCATTTTGGCGCCAATAATGACAAAATCATTTGGCGCCACAAAATGACAAGTATGTAGTTGCGACATTTATTGTTTTTTTTTGTCCCATATTCGTCCATCTCCTTTTCAGTGATGGAACAGGCAAAGATCCTTAGACCGTACAGCCTAGTCTACGTTTAAAGTTCCTCATATTTGAACAAGTGATGAGGCCAAAGGCCAATTCTTATGTGACATTTATTGTTTCTTCCGTATTGTGTTACTTATGCAATTTTTTTTTCTTTACGTAACTGGAATAACAAATATTTAAGAACCGACGCTTACATTCATAAATAGTACTAAGGACATGGGTCACCTCATACTCCTCATAGATTGCCATTGTGTAACTTACTTTTATCACTGCAATTTCTCTGCTATTAGAAATGTGATGTCGCTATTCATGTATGTATATTTTTAGTTATTATTCTGAGCAAGATAGGGAATATCTAAAGGGAAATTCCTATTATGCCAATAATCATTGTATCTACTATCGGGAGTTAATAGATAACGTGCGTCCTAGAGGATGTCTATAAACTGCGGATGTACAGCGACGATTCCGGTTCATTAAAACGTAATTAGTCAATTTAGTACTTACCTACATCAACCTATACTATGTAGTTATGCAATTAGAGTAACAATTTTGAGCAAAAGTATCAATTGTGTAATAATTTCTTTTTAGAATTTGTTTCAAAAACAACAAACACGACGAAAGGAAACTAGTTATTCAAAAGACTGCTCTGATTTGAAGTTGAACTGAAAAATTGAAATGAAGTTGACCCCCGAAGTTGCGAAGTTATAATAAATAGAAACTTACATTAGAAAAAATAATTTTTCACACAAGAGGCAAAGGGCGAGCCCCTTTGCCTCGGCATCAACTTCGGGCGCAACACGCCCCGGGGAACTGGCTTTAAGCCGTTAAGAATGGGTGTTTACAATTTCAAAATTTTAACATACACTTAATAACTAGTACCATATTTGATATTATTTTGTGTGAAAAGTATTTTTCCTAATGTAAGTTTCTATTTATTATACTATAATAAGTGCTATAAATTCTATATTAACAGGTTTGCAATTGAAGATGGAGGCGTGACATATCAGTGCCGATTCCTCCGTTCCAGCACCTTTAACAAGAACCGCGCCGCCGGCCGTATCGTCGTAACTGAGTTTGGCACTAAAGCCGTCCCTGATCCATGCCACACGATCTTCGACAGGTTAGTTTTATTTTAATAATAAAATAATAACCCAGGACAATTCACACCGCATTGTCGATCAAATTCCAAATTATTAAACAAAAATATCATATTTTGCTGAATGCTGAATTACTGAATTTAATTTTGAGTGTAAGTAATACTACTACTAATTATGTTACTAATCTTGTTATTGGCCACTTTCGGGGAGTTCCACCATTATCCAGTAATTGATTGTAATGATGATGAAGAAACGGTGCATCACTCGCGTGTGGTTTCAAAGAAAATGTGAAGAAAAAAAGAAAGATAATTTAATGTAATAATCCATACAGATGGACAATGAAGATGACTCAGATCAGACAGAGACAGATCCAGACTTTCTAACAAACCCATCCGGTCCGGATGGGGTTATTAGAGGGAAAGGATTGTTCGTAATGGGGACTTTGAACCAATGTTTGGTCAAATCAACTTGTACATATAACCCTTAGAAACAATCCTTTTAAATTTCTGGTGAATTCACCCCACCGGGCTAACTGATTTCTTTCGTTGGTGGTTTATTAAAATACTAGACCTCTTGTAATTGTTCTATAATTCAGTAAGGGGCCAGAATTGTTACAAAATAAATATATATTTAACCGAGGAATATTTTTTTAATGTTTTCTCTATTTCATATGTTATACGGCTCTGGATACAATGGAATATTGTAAATGACTAGACTGTTTCCAGGGTAGCAGCATTGTTCAAACCTGGAGAGTCGTTATCTGATAACGCGATGATATCGTTGTATCCCTTTGGGGATGAAATGTACGCCTTTACTGAAACTCCTGTGATACACAGGTAAATATTTCCTTCGATTTTGTATATAATTATTATAAAAGTATATAAACTTCTGCGTTCACAAGTCTAGTCAAAGAATCTTATTAATATTATAAATGCGACAGTTTGTGAGTTTGGATGTTTGTTACTCTATCACGCAGAAACAACTGAACGGTTTTTTATGAAATAAAGATATTATTTACCTTTATTTACCGTTGACTGACAGTCAGCTCGTCCTTTATTTACCATAATTATTCGTGATGAGATCCGTTTAACAATACAAATAATTAATACCATATTATTTCAGAATAGACCCTGAGACTTTGGACACATTGGAAAGAAAGAATCTAATGGATTCCGTTTCATTGGTCAACCATACTTCACATCCGCATGTTATGCCCAACGGTAGTGTATAATCACAATATATTTTTCAGTATTAAACCTAAAGGTATAATAACCTACCATAATTATTATACCTTTAAGTATAGGTATAATACATACACACACAATTAAATACATACATATATATACATAGTTATATAATAATCAACAGTGAATAGTCAGAAGCGTATAGAAAGTATGTTTATGTATGTAGTTATATTTATAAATGTACACACTGCAGATGTATAATTATTAATTATATATTATATACGTATGGACATTTTTTAAATGCTTCTTAGTTTGCCCTATAGTTAACTGAGCAAATGCCATCGGCCATTTGTTTTTTAGTGCATCTCATTTTCCTTGCGTATAATTTACTGTGTATATTTTTTTAAATATATTCTCTGACCTTATTGAAGAGGGAATGGAACAGGTTGGTCTTCAGTCTACATTTTGGAAGTTCCTATTTTTCAAGTGTATAGTTCCCGTAATTAAAGGTAAGCAAATGAAGTGTTAAATTTAAATCTTATATATAAAATTCTCGTGTCCCAATGTTAGTTACCATACTCCTCCGAAACGGCGTGACCGATTTTTATGAAATATATATGCATATAAGTAGGTCAGAGAATCGGCTACTATCTATTTTTCATATCCCTAAGTGATGTCCACCCCTAACACTTATTTTTTATGTTATTTCATTTCTTTTTTAATTTTATATATTTTTAATGTGGTTGTAAAAATACCTACAATCCTAAAATTTCACCCTCCCGTCATCAACCCTCATTTTTAATAGCGATTTTAATGTAGGTATATAGCAAAACAACGTTTGCGGGGTCAGCTAGTATTTATATATATTTGTTATATTTTCAGGTGATGTATACAATCTTGGGATGTCCGTAGTCAAGGGACGGTTGAAACATGTCATAGTTAAATTTCCATATACTGAAAAAGGTTTTATTTTATTATATTCCATTACGCACTGAAAATATAAAAAAACACTTTACATAAATGTTACTAGAATTAGAAAATACTTTATTAAAATAATCTTATATTTAAGCATTTTTTAATATCTATTATATAATGCTTAAATATAAAATATACCTATATTTTTTAATCTCTTGTGAAAGCTATCTCATCACAAGAAGAACGAGAGGGAATCTTGCGTGTTGCTCCTTTAAATAATTTAGTTGTAACTTTGTGCTTAAAAAAAGGAGTTCTTATTGCTTTCTCTGATCTTTTACTAATCTCTTACAGAAACTTAGTATAAATAATAAATAATAAATTTAAATTTCAGGCGACATGTTTGCGAAGGCACATATTGTTGCCTACATGAGTCCAAGGTGGCCGCTTCATCCCGCATACATGCACACTTTTGGTGAGTTAAAAACGGAGAAGTAATTATTATAGTTTTATAGAAATAGTTGGTATTGTTATATACTTTTAGTTATTATTATATAATGATATTGTATATTTTAAAAAAATCTATTAGATATATTTCTGAGTGTTTAGTGTTCTCTCCAGCTCTCACACGAACAAATAGGGATTGACACATAAATAAATAAGTAAGTATATAACACATAAGTTTCTTGTCAGTTCTTCTCATCTCGAAAACATTCCGAACTGACGGTAGATTTGACATCATAAGAGTCTGTAATAGACCTACATGAATAAAGATATTTTGAATTGGAAATTTCGAAAAAATATTTTTACCCTATACAAACTTATGAGGCACCCATTATTACTGCATAGATTGTGTCTATGAACAGTCTAAAAAGTAAAACTTTTACCAAAAATTTCTTGCCTCGATAGGATAGATGGTCAAGTATTAATACCATAATTAATTTCAATTATATCTGAACAGTATTAAGGCTCTTATATCAATAATAATACTTCTATGCTTGTGTGTGTGTCAAATACATGCTAGTGTAAGGTTTTTTTTAATGATTTAATGTATTTTTAAGTATAATTAAAATTATATATAGCATTCTGTTGTGTGCTAAACTTTCATACTCGTTCGTCAGCACAATTTTCCTATTTACGGGTTTTGTACCCGTATTTATTATTTATATTATTTATATTATATTTTAATTAATATTATATTATAATTTCAGGTATAACAGAGAATTATTTCGTTGTAGTGGAGCAGCCGTTGTCTGTATCATTGTTGAGTATGGTCAAAAATCAACTGTCCAACGAACCACTTGTTTCCAGTCTACAATGGTATCCCAATCATGAGGTATTAAATATTCAATACCTTCAAAATTGACTCTTCTTTTCTCGGTGTTCTGTATGGAAGTTGGGGGAAAGACTGTTAGTATGAAATGCTACTGACCTGACGACCTCGGTGGTCTAGCGGTCTAGCACACCGCTTTACGTCCGATGGTCGCGGGTTCGATTCCTCGCACAAACATTTGTATTCATGAGTATGATTGTTTGTATCGGTCTGGGTGTTTTCTATGTATAATATGTATGTATTTACGAAAAAAAAATTACTATGTACTTGTATCAGTTATCTAGTACCCGTAACACAAGCTTTAGATAGCTTAACTTGTAACTAGATGGCGCTGTGTGAATAGTCCTGATTTAGATTTAGATTATTATTATATGCCAACAATGAACTTTGTTGGTGATAATAGTATGATGCATTTTCCCATTCTAAAATTTCACGTTGACGAGGCATCAGTGGAAAATGATAGGATAAAGCTAAAGTCAGATTAGATAGCGCTTTGGGACGAATTCACTAGATATTAACCACAATGGTTCTCTGGGGAACCGCGTTAAGATCAACCTGACCCACATTACTAGTAATGCGACACTCCTTCTCATTACTAACAATCTTATCCCTCATCAATAGACCTTATAAGGTTGACCTATACAAGAACAGGAGGTTGACCTTTACAGGACTGGAAACCAAGGACTCTGTCAGTTTCATCCGTGAGTTCATCTTGTAGATAACCTTAAAGGGGAAACGAATAGAGATAGAGAAATGACAGAGATAAAACAGAGAGAAGTGATTGTTACTTACAAATCTGTTGCTATTATTCTATAATTTATGTTATTAATTCTAACATGATTTTAATTAACTGATCTGCATCTCGTCATTGTGTATATTGTATATTACCTTAATAGAGAGAGGAAAAGAGAGAGAAAAAAAGACAGAGATAAATCAGAGAGTGACTGTTGCTTATAAATCTATTCCTATTATTCTATCATTAATATTATTAATTCTGACATGATTTGGTTTCATTAACTGACCTGCTTCTTTTCAGTGTATATATTGTAGATTACCTTAATACAGAGAAGAATTGAGATAGAGAAAAGATATAAAACAGACAGCAATTGTTGCCTAGTTGTTGAATCTATTGCTACAGTTCGATTTATGTTATTAATTCTAACATTAATGGAAAGCTTTATAATTTTTAGACACACATAGTTCTGCTTTCTCGTGAGAATGGTAAAGAGGTGAAGCGTTACCGTACAGAGACGTTATTCTACCTGCACATTATCAATACATACGAGCAGGACGGTACGCTGGTGGTCGATATATGTGCTTACAAGGACGCGAAGACTTTAGATGCTATGTATATAAACGCTATTGAGGTAAGATATGTTGCTCTGTACGTGATTATAAACTCATTACTTAATCCTTACTAATCCTTTCTAATAGTATAAATGTGAAAGTAACTCTGTCTATCTCGCTTTCACGCCAACAATACTAAACCGATTTAAATGAAATTTGGTACACGGATAGTCTAGACCTTAAGAAAGGACATATGCTGTGGAAATAGGATTTTAAGGTGTTGAAAGGGGAAATGAAACGTTATATGTAGGTATTGTAAATTTTAAAGCTAGAAGGTTGAAACTTATTTATTAGGCTGTTGATTAAACTTAATTAAATATGATATTTAAAGGTTCGTAAAAAATTAAAAACATCCGGATCAAAGTTTGTTTGTAAATTTGTCATTCGCAAAATAGTATAAATCCATTATAGTTATAGTGATTACCATTTAAACTAGATTTGATCGTCACCTAGATTATCATTTCAGTTATATATAAAAAAGTGGATTTAATAATTATTTGCAGACGATGCAAAGTAACGCCGACTACGCAGAATGGTTCCGTGGGCGACCAAAGCGGTTGGAGCTGCCCTTGAATGCCGACAACAGGTCGCGCATAGAACCACGTCTACTGGCGGACCTCGGTTGTGAGACTCCGAGGATACATTACGACTTGCACAATGGTAACTTAACTATCATTGAAGATATTAATTTACATCAAAAGCTGCTCTTACATGTTTTTGCTCCGATGAATACATCGTCCAATTCAAACTGGCATCGAAATTACGACGACCTGAGCCGAGGTTCGAACCGTTAGCGGTGCCCTCAGACTAAAGTCGCATCCGTCAGGCAGGAGTCGGCCTTCAGCCGCTCCATAAATACTTCTGCGGGTTTGGAGTGCCATCTGCACTTGCCCCCCATCGTATGGTGAAGCTGTAAAGGCCAACTGCGGCCAACAGCATTAAAGTAGTCCGAAAAAAAAGGTCGTCCACGTGTGAATCTGCTTTCACATAGAAAATATAAATAAATAACCTTGGAAAATTAACAAAGCGCCATATAGTCCCACGGTAGGCAGAGCTTGTGTACATACATAATATACATAGAAAACACCCATGCCTATACAAACAATGATACTCATGAATCGAAATGTTTGCATCGTGCGAGGAATCGAACCCGCAACCATCAGAAGTAAAGCGGTGTACTAGCTAAAACCACTAGACATCACTATCACCAAACATACAGCTTGTTACATACAGCAACGAGGAAATAAAATGCATTCTATGTAGATTACCTTAAGGATAGTAAACACTAACTTCAACTCATGCTGCAAAATGTAGATGTTTGTAGCAAATCTTTCACAGGGATGCTACGCGAGAATTATTTTAAAGTAATTACGAGGTGTATAGTACCGTAATAATTTTGTTATAATTAAAATGTAATAGTTATGTTTTTTATAATACTTTTATAATATAAAATATTAAAAACACTATACTACTGCGAACAACATAACAAATTAATTATTTCAAGGTCGTCCTTACCGTTACTTCTATGCTATCAGCTCTGACGTGGACGCCGCCAATCCTGGAACAGTAAGTATTACTTATACTAGACTATTTTTTTACGTATATTTAAGCTTATATTTTATATCACCACACTCGAGAAGCACAAGAAATGTATAATATCAATGTGTGGTATTAAAAACAAAATGATTATTGTCTCTGTGAGGAATATCGCTAAACAATTTTGCTTATATCGGAAATTTTAAATAAGGAACAAAATTAAAAATGTACAATTTTGTGTTTTTAAGTAACTTTAAAAGGGAGAATAGAAATACCGGGCTTTGCTTTACTAGACAATTAATTGTTCTATGAAATTCTGTCTTTTATTAACATGAACTTCTTTGGAGAAGTTTTATTATGAAGATTTTGGCATCATCATTACAGGGACTCACATGGATTCTAATTTATACACATATTTCGTATTTTAGTTATATTATTATGCATATATTGTTTTGTGTTATTAGATAATTAAAGTAGATACACAGACTGGTGAGACAAAGACATGGTGCGACACGAACTGTTACCCCAGTGAGCCAATATTCGTGCCCGCTCCTGGATCACAGGTTAGTTACAGAATCTTATTAAATTTTTCAGAATGACGCATCGCTTCTATTGGAAATAGATTGTATAAATACTCATACGACTGTATACAATATGCCTCTGGCATGTTTGCTTCTGAACTCACTATCTTGCTTTCCATACTGCAATGTTGTCTTTAGTGTCATTTTGAACCTGTTAAAGTTTCAAAATGACACTAATGGTACCAATTTTTTTGTTGATATCCATGATAGACATTGGCCATAGTTATTGTTACGAGTATGTCTTTAAACTATATGAAACTACTTGTGCGTAAAAAACCATAAGTGGATGTAGAAAAAAATATATTTCTGTTTTTAAAGTTAGCCAACAATCGGAAATCATACAAGGGGATAATATGTACCTACGTTATATTTTATGTAACTGGAATGGCAAACGAGCTGACTGTCGGCTTTCATGCAGGAAAGACCATGTAAAATCAGAGAAATAGAACGAGTAACAAAGCGCGCGCACTGGCAACTGATACATTCCCGCGTTCCTCAATCGTGCGTGCTTTCGCGCCTTTTTTAATAATCAATCATTACAAAATGGCCGACATCTAACTGTGGATGTAAGGTCATATTTAAAGATGTATTGATTATTTAGAAATGTTGAACGTGTCTTTAGGGAATAAAATCTGTGGAAAATAAAATAAAATTAAAATGACCTGAAAGTTATGCAAAGTTACATAAAAAATATAGAAAAACAATCACTTGTGTTTGCGTGCTCTGGCTTTCCTGCGCTAAATCACTAGCGCTTATGATTGCAAGTGAAAGAATGTGTCGTGTAGGCAGCTGATGATAATTTTTTGGTAGAATTACGCTGTTGGAAAGCAATTATCTTTCCATCTGCGAAGGAGCCGATTATTGGACTCGGACACTGTAGCCCCATCAGTGAGAAGTCCTGTAATTGGTCTTATTGATGGGGCGTTAATATCATTTTGATAGCTAACAGTTGAAAGGTTATTTTAAAACCGGAATAATTATGTTTAATTTGTAAACAGGAAGAAGATGAAGGAGTTGTGGTGTGTGCACTTGTGTGGGGTGGCACCGAGGCAAACAGCCGTCGCGTGGCGCTGATCGTGTTAGATGCACGAGGGATGTACGAGCTTGCACGCGCCACCTTCACCACATCATCGCCAGTACCCAAGTGTCTACATGGCTGGTTCCTACCTCGCACCCAGTAGTAAATGGGGCGTCTATTTTTTTTTATGGGCTTGGCACGTTGGTAAATTTACCAAAGACAATATATAGAATTTATTTTTTTAATTATTTCAATTTAGAATACGAAATTTGGAATAGGATCAGGTGTCTAATTATATCGATTTCGATGATGATAGAGTGATTCAGCTCCTATTCGATGAATTCTATTCTATGTTATAAATGACGTCAGCTTTTAGCCCAGCCCAAGATGATTTCCCAAGATTGCATTTGTTTTATTGTATATCACAAACACAAATCAAGCATACGGCCTGACTGAGTAGCCTATTAAAAGTCGTCTGCATCTTATCTTAGTCTCCCTATTTCATCCGTTGAATCGCACAGATAATATAATATTACATAGTAGTAGTGTCAATTCAATTACCATCAGGTGGGCCGTAAGCCGGTTTACAAGGAAAAATACGGGCCACCTGATGGAAACAATAACCGTAGCCTATAGACGCTTAAAATACTAGGGGTTAAAGTACGCGTTGCCGATCCTTAAGTAACACTCCCAACACAAACTATAATGGAATTTGCATTTGTATAACCTGCTGAATTTGATAAGCCACTCGCGGTAAAGACTTCCTATTAATGGATTAGTATATTTTCATCGGGGATTTATACAAAGCAAATCCTATTATGATTCGTGGAAAATGGTGTCCCAAATCCCCAGGCTACTCTATTATACATATTAATTAAATTCAAGTTAATGACGTTTAATTAAGGGTTCAATTTACGACATAATTAACGTGACCATTTATTCTTTGACTCAAAACGGGATATTAGTCTATTTATGTCAATTAATAGACAGTCAATGGAAGTAACAATTTCTTAAAGCTATTTATACAGAAAAAGTATAATAAATAACTTAAACGTTAAGTATTATCGGGTGAATAAATTTTATTTAATATAGCTAGTGAACATTTTAAGTAAATCTGAAAACTCTAAGCACGAAATTATATATTTACTTTAATTATCAACAATAATCAACATCACAATGGCCCGACGACACAAATTTTCGCGGAGTTTCCGTAAACTCCGGAGTCGATTTTGAGAACTCTAGGTTCAAAATTGTCCCGTAGTTTTGGGGACACTACTTATGAGACTTTATGAGCCTCGCGTAATTATAAAAAGGGACAGTCCCGTTTAAAATCGGACGTCTGGTCACGATAGACATAATTTACAAGGTCTATATTTAATTCTGTTTCGTCGTTTAAAATTGAAGCCATATTTCAACGCCATTGAGTTGAATTTTGTTGCAATTTAAGTCACAGTACCTGCTTATGATTATGGTATACTATCAAATGAAAATTCATTTTAAATGCGCAGTAAAAAATAGATTACAAAGTTACAACGTTTAAATGCTGTTGGAAGATTTTATATGTATATGTATATAAACTGTGTGTGTGTATGTAACAGTTTTATAAATATTAACTGAACATAGTTTGTAAAAAAAATATGTAGAATAATTAGTTTTACAGTAAATTATGATGGTAGAATTTATACAAAGATCTATATGAATTGACGATACTCGTTGGCATTTGTTTCTAGAGATAGCTTTATTACAAACTGTACTTTATCTTAGAAAACCTAATATTAGTAATATATGTTCATGCTGAAATACGACGACGATACGATTATCTAGCGGTTTAGCATATCGCCTTATTGTCGATAGTCTCAAATTCGATCATCGTACCGTACAAACATTTGTATCCATGAGTATAATTGTTTGTATTAATTTGGTTGTTTGCTATGTACATTATACAAGAATTTACAAAAAAATATATTTAAGTATTTGTATCAGTTGTGTAGTACCCATAATACTGGCTTTGCTTGCTTGGGTCCAGATGGCTGTGTTTGTGTCGTCCACGGTTATTACTATTATTATTTAATCTTAGAATTTTTCGCTAATTTTGTAGTTATAACATTCATGTCTTACACTCTACAAATAAACTTTCCCCTTCAATTATTCTATCTATTGTTGAAAATTGCATTGAAAACCGCATTAAAATCTGTTGCGACTTTGTTTTATAGTATGTAAAGATACATAAAATCTTATAATAATGTATATTTTATGGTAGAGTAAATATATATATAAATGTATGATAACTAGAACATATTTAGCAATATATGTATGCAGCTGTCTGTAATAATAATAATATGCACAAAAAATATATAATATGTAAATAATTTTATAATTATTATTATTAATAAAATTGTTAAAAACCCGAAAACATTTTATTGTTAGTTCTGATTGAATAAATGATGTATCGTTTACTAAATCTCCTTGTTTTGTTTAATATATATGTATACTGTATATATATTTTCTAATTCAACTATTTATATATACCTACAGATTTTTTATTCATATATGACATTATGATTTATTACGTACATTTAGTCACAACTTTATAGTTTTCAAACTGAATTGTATGTTAGAATAAAGAATTTATCTTTATAAATGTCAAACAAAATATATAGCTTTCGCTAAGGAATATTGCAATATGTAGTAGAGAGTTAAAATTAATCCAATTAACAGTCACTTACATCTATTTGCGCAGCAAACATGGTCACTTATGTGAACAATTACATAATGGACAAATATTGTCTTTGCGAAGGCAAGGCAATTTAATATCACGGTAACAGCGCCACCGGTAACACGCATATAAAATTGTGATAATTGCTACTCCCAAAATCTAAAATTTGTTACAATTGCCAGTCCTAAAATCCAAACTTTGTCACAATTGCCACTCCCAAAGTCTAGAATTTGTGACAATTGCCACTCCTAAAATATAAAATTTGTGACAATTGCCACTCCCAAAATCCAAAACTTGTAACAACCTTAATTGCCACTACTAAAAATTTTAAGATACAAGTGCAATAAATATGGTGAATATATCAGCGCATAACGAGGAATTTGATTACGAATTGTGGGCTCAAATTTTACAGAAAACTATGACCCAGGAATCTGATGTAATGCATGCAATTTACGTGGCGACCATGCTCATTATATTCGTTATCGGCGTTACGGGCAATCTCCTCACCTGCATTGTCATATACTTGGACAAAAATATGCACACAGCCACCAACTATTATCTCTTTAACTTGGCAATATCAGATTTTATTGTATCCTTCGGAATATTACTTGAAGTGGATATTATTTGGTATATGCGAAATTTTTACTTTTTCCAAGACTACGATTTAGGAAATGCAGTGTGCAAAATACACTTTTTCCTAGTAGTTACATTATGGAATAACGGCATATTGATAATGACTACGTTAGCCATAGAAAGATATATAGCTATCTGGCATCCCTTACTACTGAAGTCTACACCAGTGTTGAGAAGAGTCATGAAAACAATTATCTTAATTTGGACGATAGCGATCCTAGAGACGCTTCCAGAGTTGTGGAACGTGAGTTTAATAAACACAGATCAATCTCCAATTTGTTTCGTAGTTCCGACACGGCTTGCTAAAGTTATCAATGCAGTTTCGGGACTGGTGACTTTCGTAATACCACTTGGGATTATGACATTTGTGTACTCGATGATAGCTTTCAAGGTGAATGTGCGCCATACAAGCGACTCCAGAGATAGGATTTTTAATCATCGCAACAATAGAAGCAAAGTTAATAAACTTATTGGTAAGAATTTTCAGTTTCTAAAATTTGTTCAGTAGCACAATTTTTTTTATTTATTCAACTACATTATTTTTTTTTATGCTACTTTTATTGTGGAAGAATGAAGTATTCCTAGAACTAAAATTATTGATATTATGTCTATAGTTTGCTTACTGTTCTGCTGTAGTGGATATTTTCTAGCCACAGAAAACAATATATGAATGTGTTTTATACAAAATAGCAATACTGTGACAGTAGACCTTCTGAATTAAGTAAAAGATAGGTGGTAATGCACCTATCTCTATGTATATTTATCTAATATCTGTTAAAATGTTTTGCCTGTCTGTGTTGTTTTTTGTTAATCACTGAAATGGCTGGACCGATTTTGACGGGAGTTTCATTCGTAGATAGCTAATATGTATGTAAGTTTTATCACTATTTAACTAACAGCTGTTACTTAGCTAATCCTTGTTTCGGCTTTCAGTAGCACTGACGCTGTCATTCCTGGTGTGCTGGCTACCATTCTTTGCGTTAAGAGTACTTTTAGTTATGTCCAGCTCGGAGATGCTGACAAAGTTCGCTGAGGTACAATAACACATTTAATTTGGATACATTCGAATAATTTTAGTGAAAATTTAGATAGCAAGTATAGAAACTTTTTTGACTAACTATTGGTTAGGGTTTCAAATTATAATTAATTACAATTCCAAACAAATCAGAATAATTTACCTTTCAAGAACATTAAAACTAATTTTATTTGCGCAACTACTTGCATATTCTTTGGATGTTATAATCAAATGAAACAGGAGAAAAATTTTAGTCCTCTAGATCAAAAAAACTTCTTTTTACAACCTTGGAACCTAAATGATGAAGTATAGAGCGGTTGCAAATGAGTTCGCTTCCATTCAATTGTGAAATAATCTCGAGTAAAGTTACCATGATCTTCCATGAAGATTACTGTATATTTGAAAGGACATTAAGAGGTTTCATGTGACTCATTATTACTATCTTTTTCTAATTTAAATGTTTTCTAATTGACAGCGATGGGAACTATGGCTCAGTATTGCATCGATAAATAATTGGTTCAGTATCATACTAAATCCCCTTCTATTCAGTTTGATGTCAACCAAGTTCAGAAGAGCTCTTAAGGTAAGCGTATTTGTTAAAATTATTTTTTTATCTAGTCCCTTTTCAATAGTGTTTACTATTTCTGTACTGGTGCTAATAGATGTATCTATGTCTCTTATGAATATATTAGTTTTATTCGATATGGGAATAATTTCTTTAATTGGATAATTATGAAATGAAAGCTGCACGGCAATACCGAGTTATTCCTTACATACAACTTTATCTTTTCTGTATAGTATATTTATCAAAAATTAGAGTCAACTATATTTTGTTTATTTTCCAGACTTTATGGAACAAAAAAATCATGAGACGTACACCGGTTCTTCAGAGAGTTACAATTTAAATAAGTAATAGGTACAATTAACGCGCTTACAAAATCACAATATGAAGGCTACAGCCAATGAATGTTTTTGAATGAGCAGCATATTTATTTTTAAGTGAACCTTCCTTAATTGTAACAATATCTGAGTGCCTTCTGTACTCATATATTCATATACTCACAATAATGTTACTATTTTATTTATTTATTGAAGCATTGCATTCCGTAATTCACAATAGGTAGTTAGTAACTGGTTAAGTTTACAGCAGATTACTTATGGAGCCTGTTGGGCACAGCAAGCAGAAGAGAAGAGAGAAGGATGAGTTGTTTGTTTTATACTTTACGAAAGATCTGAGTTTCTAATGAATTTACTATTTATATAGATAATATAATTTAATAAGTTTCCAATATAACATTACAAACGCTCTCATTGTTACTGCAAATAATTGCCGTATACTCGTACATTGTCATCACTTAAAGAACGATGTGAGCTCCGAACGCTTTTACTATGCTCAACTTGTCGTATACCAACAACATAAGTAAAAGCAGTGTTTTTAAGAAGCAACGTTAAATATATAACTTTAATACAAAGTTCTAAGGAATCATTTAAGTTGCAAACGTTATTGTTCTTTCTCTACTTTCGATTTTAATAAATGAAAATTAGTACAGTCTACAATTTTAACACTAAACACAATTTAAACAAAACTACAAATGGAATGCTAAATTTACATATAAATAAATAATAATTAAATATGTAATACACATATTTACTTAATGTTACATTTACAGTTACATTTACTTAATGTTGATCTCGTGAAGTTGCTCTAAAATCGGATGCTACCTATATTCGTGGTTGTTTTACCAGTTTGTTCAACATTATAATACAAAAAATGTATCGTAGATTTTGTCTTCTATAGGAAATGGCATAATGTCTTGCTTTACCTTAATGTGAAAATGTCTATCTATATTTTTATACCAAGATTTAAAATAAAAAGAAACACGATAAGTTTGTATAGATTATCCATGTGAATGTTGTAATCTGTATTTAGTGTGTGCGATAAGGGATTTGATATTTGATAGTGTTGGATAACACTGTTATGTAAACTGCATAATGGATAATTATACTTAGTTACACAAATGTTTTCTCTGGTCGTATTATTGTCTCTAGATAACAAATGTCCATAGATAACTAGTAAAACCCCGGTTTCACATGCGTGGAGTTGTTAATTTGAAATTTTCGAAAATTCTTTTACATCATAAAATAATTACATTATATCCTACGTTGCTCATCGTTCTAGATTACTTCTAATCTAATTTTGGCCGTGTGATTAAAAAACATTTTAGATAAACAATTTTATCAGTAGTATTTTTAATGAATCTCATTATCTAATTTTGCAATATTTTCACTATTATGGTTTTGTATTTATTTTACTGAAATGCCACGTTCTTGTGATTTACATTACATTTACTCTCTGTAATTTACATTAATTATGGTAACCATTGTGAGCTATCATTTTGGACCCCTGGCGTAATTATAAGTTCGAAATGAGTCTTAATATGAAACAAGTCATGAAAATAATTGATTAAAAATTAAAAGAATTTAGGAATAAAAATAAAAACTTATGGAACATAGTGCTCTGTGTTTATATGTATCTGGTATGTATATATTGTTTATTATACATATTATTTAGTACCTTAAAAATTATGCTATCTACAATTATCACAATTTACCAGCCTCAATGATCTCTTTCAACTTATATTTCTGTATTTTCCCGGACGTCGTTTTTGGGAATTCGTCTATGACTTTCAGGATTCTGGGTATCTTAAATTTGGCCAGGTGTCCGGTGCAGTGCTGCCTCAGATCGTCCAGCGTGACAGCTGTTCCTTCGCGGACTCGTACCACAGCACACAATTCTTCACCTAACCTCTCGTCTGCAACTCCAACTATCTACAGGCATATGAAATTAAATCTTAAGTAACAAAAGTTTAAGGTCAGTACAGAGTGACAATTCCAGTAAGTCATTATTTGAAAGACAGCATTAGTGACGCTTGTAATAAATTTGTTTTAAATAAAATAAAGATTAATAATACTAAATATAATATAATTATTAAGTAAGTTAATTGTACGAATTAGAACGGAAGAAACATGTGTATATGTAGTGATGTATCATAAAATTGAGTAAATGTGTTAAATAGAATTCTTTCCATCAAATGGGACATCAGCCTAAATAAAAAAAAGTTTCTGCAAAATGTTACTGGCAGTTAGCTACTAGATTTGTTACCTGACTATCGATTATATCTGGATGCGTGTTCAGCAGGTCTTCAATCTCCTTGGGCGCGATGTTCTCGCCTCCTCTTACGATAATATCCTTCAACCGTCCCACTATCCTACCGTATCCGTCTTCGCTTATCGTAAATTTGTCACTGATGAACAATATTTAAAGTTTATTATTAACTAATAACATTTTAATAATTGAAATTAATTGCATTCGGTTGTCTCTGTACACTTCATTAGTCATCTGGGGTTAATAAATAATAATCATTATTATAATCTAACTTTTCTGACTGTATATTACTCTATTCATAATGATAACCATTATGTTAACATAATGGTTTATGTATTTATTTATTTAAGGCAACTAGGCCCATATTATTATGAATACATAAACATAAACTAACATACATATAAAATAATATTTTAAAACTAAGATATTGATATTATAGCGCCGACAAAGGATATGGCCCTTCGGTCAGTAGTCCTCCTTCATGAAGGTGGGCAGCACGTTGGTGGGGACCCGGCTACAAATGCCTTGAAACTCGCATTGTGACTCATCTTCAGATGCATCCCCCTCAATGTCATACATACAAATTTTACAAATATTATAGTGTTGGCTGATTGTAAAGATCTTTTTTTTTAAAAAGCTAGCTAGTACGAATAATTATAAGTAGGTCTACCTGTTTATTAGTGTTATTTAAAAATCTGTGTTTGGAATTGTCAGTATCAAAACAAGCGAAATACCTACCCTGTCCTAAACCATCCGTCTTCATAAAAAGCCTTTCGCGTTTTCTCAGGTTCATCCCAGTAGCCGCTCATGATGAGGTAGCCTCGAACCACTAACTCACCAGGACTGCCGAAGGGTACAGTTTTACCATTGTCGTCGACGACCTAAAGTATAAAATAAATATATGTGAACCCCTGAACGGAACGAATAAGAAATTCCCTTACGAAATAAACCCCTAGTTGTCTTAATGTTGCATACACGATACCAAAATATTTATTGTTGTGAATTAAAAATTTTGTTAAACCTTGTACTCATATATTAGGCACTGGTGACCCACCCCGGGTTTGTTTTTGTGCAATAATAATTGCTGAGAAAAAAATTTTTTAAATTTTAATTTTAAAAAATTTGTTCTCAGCCAGATATTTATATCCCCCATATAACTTACTGATAATGTATAAGTCTATAGTTGTAAATTTCTTTTTTCCTTTAAAATCAGTCGAGTATTTTATCCATTCCTGAATAGTTTAAGAGGCGCATTCTTACGATTTTACACGATTTTCCATTATTTTTTTTAAATGTTGATACGACACGAATTTCTTCTATAATAATATTCATAAGTTCATTGTGCTATACCAAGCGTTCCAACATTTTCTCACTTCTATTTTAAAAAATCCCTGCCCTTACATTTTGGAAATCTAATATATAACAAAATTCTCTCGTTGCAGTGTTTTTAACAAAACGCTAATAAAACGGCTTGACCGATTTTTATAAAATTTTGTGTGTATATTCAGTAGGTCCCAGAATAGGACGTAATCTATCTTTCATACAATTGCATAATAAGGACGGTCCACCCCAAAATTTCCTTTTGTAATTAAAATTTTTATGCTTCGGTACATAGTACATAGAACCCTATATTTTCACTCTTCTACCGTCAACCTCTATTTTTAATAATAATATTAGTACTTTAATTTATATAGCAAAGCAATCTTTGCCGGGTTAGATGGACAAATGGAAGCAACTAACTCAAGAGACATCGATAGGCAATTGCTATATCGAGTAATGAAAAAGTATTTTAAATATTTTACCTTAACTTCAACATGATCTTGTATATATCCAACAGTCTCGGAGACCAGTTCAGTGCTATCTCCTGGCAAAGACTGGAATACAGAAGCTGTAGTTTCCGTCAGTCCATACAAAGCCTGTAAAAAGTAATAAATATTATGATTTTCTTCAACAAAAATAAATCGACTTTTCTCGTGATGATGCAATATTGGACTATGATGGGTTTAGGTAATAGGATGGGATAAAAATGTAATCATTATAATTGTCAAAAAATTTAAGACTAATATAGAATAGAGAAACAAAGCAATCTGCTTGACGACTGAAATAGTTGAGACAGAAGTACCCATGCAGACGACTCTGTAATAAATCTTTTATTAAATGTATCTCTAGGTATATACATAAATCTTAAATAAGTAATGAAGAAACAAACATCTATTGTTTCTGTAATATTAGAGTGTTTGTTAACTCGTGAGGAGGATCGTGAGGCTGAAAAGGCGGGATATTTTGTTTAATCAAATGAAATAAAAAAATATTTATTCATGTTGGACATTTTAGCAGCTTAAGAAAGTTGTAACTCCCTTATCAGAAATGTATTATATATTCTAAATTTGTATTTGATATTATAGTTATTTTATTTATTTTTATTTACATTCTTGTTTTTATAACATTCATGTTACGTCAATACTATCCGAATATAATATATTTTCTCCGTATACCAAATCTTCTTACTTTTACCTATATATGAATAAAATAAAACTACAACAAAAGCTAAGTTTTTTGTAGTGATATAAGTTTTTTCTCTACCGTCCCTTTCTGTATATAGATTTAATTGTGAAGAACTGGCAAGAAACTAAACAAAATTCTGTTTTTAAAGCCAGTTTATTTAGATCTTACACTTATATAGGTGAAAAACCCGTGCATGAACAACTATTGATATGCATGTTTGTCATTTAAGTAATCGTTTAGTGCATTGTTCAATAAATATGTTTTAACATTTTCAAACTTTATTCCCTACGGAGTTAAGATGTGGAGCTTTCGCTAATGAATCGATATTATGGAGATAACAACTAAATGAAATAACAAATAAATGAATATTACAGTTACCTTAACGGATTCAGTGTTCAGATATTGTTGCATATTCTTGATAAGCTGCGGACTGCAGGGTGCGCCGGCTGCCATCGCCAACCGCAGAGGTGGTGGAGTCTCCCCTTTGATTTTCATTTGAGCCAACAAGTCTATATACATCGTGGGTGTACCCGTGATGATTGTGCATCTGTGTGTTTTTTTTAGTTATGTATATTGTCGAAAGAAAACATGGTACAAAAGCAGTACTTAATGTTAGAAATATTCTCGGCCAGTTCTCATTTTTTGGTTTAATTAACAATTTTGAATATTACTGAACGGATTTGATGAAACTTTACAGTAATATAGTTTATACATCAGAATAACATATAGGCTACAAACTTCAGGTCGGTGAAACCGCGAGTACAGCTAGTATAATATAAGTACATTTATTAGCTTTACTATCAATAACACAAGCTTTTCTTAGCTTGGAACTAGATGGCGCTGTGTGAATTATAGTACTTCAACTTAACATAGTGGTTGTCTTATTTTTTCAGAACGGCATAAAAGGTCATTCGATATTGATACTAACTTTTCGGCGAACCAAGCATTGATATTGGAATGGACGTTGTAAGTGGGTGCAGCTAAAACCAGCGTACTGCCGTGCCTTAAACCAGCCAGGGTTGTTACTATCGATCCCAGGGCGTGGAATAATGGTGCCTGTAGAAAAAATATATTATCATTTAAAGTAAAAATATGCATTTCCAGTATAGGTGACAAACGAGCTTGCGTCTCCTGATCGTAAGTGATTACCGCCGCTCATGAGGACGTGCAAAACCAGGGTAATTGCAAGTGCGTTGTCGGCCTGTTAAGAAGAAATAAGCTCTTTTCTTGAAGGTTTCGATATCGTATCAGATTGGAAATATTACTGGAAGGTGATTCCACAATGTGGTTGTGTGTGGCTAAAAGTTTATAGAAGAAAGAAGATCTACCGTATCGTAGAGGACTCCCATTCATCTAGATGATCAGGATGATATTATAGTTTCTGGATTGATATTCCTTTATTAACACTCTTTCTATCTCTGGATAATGTCGGAAATATAATTAACACGTTTTCCTTTTACATGTCCGCCAAATTTGATCTCACGACCATTACGCCTCTTGACTCCAAGATACCTGTCGCTCCTTCTTATTTTGTTGTTAGTATAGTACGCAGTTTTGAAGTGGAGAATGTTTTGAACTAAACCTTATTCTGATATTTAGCATACCTGTACACATACTCGTTGATGTTCCTCGTGGAGAGAATTCCTTTTCCCTATGAAGTACGTATTGTTGACTACGTTTATGTGTGAATCTAATGCTGCTTTTGGTTCACCTATAATGATAATTGATATACAAGTCTATAAAAAGAAAATATTCGACACAAATTCGCTTATCGATATTGAAATAATACGATTGTGAAATTATCGGAACTAGCGACCCACCCTTCTACCATCCCTAGCAAGGAATATCATATTGTTCTGCAGTAGGTATACTTTTTTTAATCTACCGCTTATTCGAAATGCTGTCTTATCGTAATGTCTGATGATCCGATGCCAATCCGATCCGAGTCCTACCATCAGAGGTCAGAATCTTGTTCGTCATTTCAATTGCATAAAAAAAAATAGTTTGGCTACACGACATACAATTGATGAACTTAGTCGCTCAAAGTGTATAAAGTAGTTTTTAGGTATATATATGTAAAATGTAGTGATTTTCTGATGCGATTTAGCTAATGGTAAATTAGTGTTATTTTAAAATTAATCCCCCAGCTGTCAATCTTAGTAGATACAACGTAATAAAGAGAACTTTATTTGCAACTTTTTACTTTACTGAAAATAAACCACATACTAAAAAATTTGTTTGCTATTCGACTTACATAAATGAAAATGGCATTTAATTCCATGCAGTGGTTTTTGCGTTATACTATACAGATTTTTAGCTTTTGTTGCTTTTAAAAAGACTAAATGTATTAAATATCAACTATTAATAAATATAGACAAGTATTATATGATATCTTTAGTCATTCATATTGATACGATTATAAGTAATTGCTTTTTTATTGAAGGCAATACTATTTTAATATTTAAAAAAAAATATTTATTAAATATATAATAATACCTGTTGTGCCAGATGTAAGGTGGATGAGACAACCATCTTCGGGTTTCACTTCTGCGCCATATTTATTGACATCATTGTTGTTATGTGTAATCAAGGAATCATATGACAAAGTACCACTGAAACCAAACAGTAATATTATTTATACAAATATATTCACACCATAAATAAATAATAATCTTATCTTCAAACGAGAATAAATTTATTTCACTTATTTTCCATGACTTGTTAGTCAACTGAATGAGTGCTAAATTCGGTTAGTTTAGCTCAATACTGGCTTCCTTCTAGAAAGCTGGCTCCTAAAACGTAGACCCCTAACCGACAATCAGATATAGTCACTGAAAATCTACCACTTCTAATCTTTTTAAGAATATATATATATATTCTAAATGACACATAATTTAACCGATAGACTTCAAAGTTGTCTACTTGTGTACATTTTCTTACCCGTTTCTGCCGCCAAGCTGCTTGCTTTATAAGGGTGAAATTACAGAGGTACGGAGTTACACATACTTATTTCTCCAGGATGGAAATTACTGGATGATGAACCTACCTTGGGCTTCGAACATATAATAAAATTCACGTAAACTTCGTTTTACCTGACCTATCTCTATGAAAAAAGGTTCTGACTTTGACTTTAAGACGTTATTTATATAAAAATCGTTATCGAAATCGCATTTCAATACAGCGGTAATAAAATAATAAGTTCACAATTAACCTTATCATTATGTTTATTAACAACTACCACAGATAACATAATATTACATACAATTACTTATGTTAACATTCAATTTCACATATTAGGGAAAACATCTTAATATCAGTTATGTAATCTATGTCTATATTTTAATAGACTTTATATTATCTTTATATCTTTTGAACTAGACACATAAAATAATATTAAAGTACCGCTTTTATTCATAACCAACTATTACATTACTAATATAAGGATGTGTATTGAAAAGAATATACCTGTTATGGTAATATTATAAAAAGGAAAATTTTCATTATTCACATTCAATATGCTCCGAAACTACTGGACCGATTTGAAAAATTCTTCTCCAAATCCATTATAATCCTACATCATCTGATGAACCACCTGATGAACATAAGCGACAGTATATTTTCAAAAACATTAGGGATCAGTTTGAAAAAAAGAATAATTCATGTGTAAAAAAAACAAAAATACCTTATATTGCATGTACTGCAGAAATATATAACAGTAGAGCTAAGTAATGTACTACAGTTTTATAGAGGACGTGAATATCGAAGGCTGTGTGTGTGTTGGTGTGTGCATTAATTTTTTAAATATCTGTTAAATATACGGCCTGTTTCTATATGTATAAAAATATATAAATTGCCATGACTCGAATATACTTACGATAGCTGTTCTTTCCCGCCATTAATAATTGAAGTTAACGTAGGAAACGCTTCAGATTTCAGAGCGCCTGGTGTAGATGTTTGCAGTTCAGGTATCATTTCTCGTAGCATGCCGTAGTAGTCTTTGTTCGGTAACTTGTCACTTATTAATATTCCCTTCAGTCCTGTTTTTTTTATACAAAAACTTAGCTCCGATTTTTCGTATACGGGATTCAGTAATACCTAAAAATATGTTAATTTATCTATATATATGTGTAGGTATAATTAATACTGTTAATCAACATAGGGTTATCAAATATGGTCTCTTTTAAAACATTGAAGTACTGGTTAATAAAAAAAAATCCAGGTTAGTGATTATGATATAACGTACGGTACCTACGTGGTCGGTCAGTGGTCGAAATTCGAAGCTATCATGGTATTTGGCGTGTGGTGTCAAATAGATGGTAGTACGTATAATGTTTGTTTATTTGATTTAAAGTATTTTTTATGCGTAATTATAAAAAAAATATTTAACATTCTGCACTCCTTCTCTATAGGTATTAAGGGTGTGCGAAATTTCATACTCCTCCATTCGCGCAATTTTCATAAAAATGGATACAAATTGTTTTGTTTCACGTATTAATAGAATGATATTGTATATTAATATTGTAACAAATCTTACTGATATGATTCCAACACGGGCCGCTGCTACGGCGGCTACGAGCCACGCAGCTGTGTTAGGACTCCACAGTCCCAATCTATCGCCCTTCTGTAGGCCCTGAGCTCGTAATGCACATCCTAAAGAGTCCGCCTGAAAAAATCAAATTAAATAATACACAAAAGTAGATTGGCCTAGATGGATTTAGGGGGAACCACGTAGAGATCAACCTGACATGGTACATAGCTAGCAGTAGGTTCATTAGTCCCCATTACTAACAACCCCATTTTAACAATAACTCATCTATTATACTATGTAGGGGGGTACTTCAGTCTCGTCTATTTCAACTGCTTCCAAACTGCTTGCTTTATAAGTTATGAACGGATATAGATTGCGATTTACCAGTGATATTCCAGGTTAATAATAATAATATCTCAAGACAATTTCTCTCAGCGCTATCTATTATAGTTCCAAGCTAAGCAGAGGTATCTTAAATGTTACTATATTGTTATGGTAGTAATAATAGTACTACGGAATGACAAGTTCACTCAACGCAAGGTAAGCGGGTTTGGAATACTTGTATTATTTAATAAGATACGTGTAGAATTGTATGTAGATAGTGAAGAATTGGCGTCGTCATGAAGCTGATAGACAGTTAGGTATTCTACTAGTATCTGATGTATCCCACAACAGATACTAGTAGAATACCTAACTGTGAGTGATATGATATTGTAGAGTGAAACGATTTATATTAACAAATTATATTGAACTAACGATGAAATATAATTTTCTTTTGGATCTGTTCTAATGCTGTTGGCCGCAGCTGGCATTATGCAGCTTCACCGAATAATAAGAGGCGAGTGCAGATCACAAAAACCCGCGAAATGAGGGGGCTCCAACTCCTGAGTTATGGTATAACAAGTTACTTCTCAGCAATAACAACATTTTAATGAACAGCAGAGTGGTTATAGTTCATTTTATGATGTTCGTGGTGTTTTCATGTGTATAGGCAATAATTGCCACTTCCCACAATTTGGGGCGGTCACAGTTATTTCTATTTCTATTATAAAGATATCTGAAAAGTGTATTCATTGTACTCTAGCAATCTGTTTAGGCTGTAGATTATATTAAAGATTTAAACGAATATACTTTCATCTGGAAAACCTATCTATTCATAATTTAAAGAAATAGTTTTAAGCTGACTGAAAAAACAAAGTTTAAAAATAATTAAATATTTTTATGAGGCAATAAATTATTAGTTTACTCATTAATATTCTTTTGATGTTGGAATCTTTAATATTCATTTGAATCTCGTTGTTATTATTTATACTGTAACTATGCAACCATAATAACTAGATGGTATCCGACACATTACTGTAGATTTACAGAAATAATTTTGATTTTTCTGGAGGCCCATATTATGAATACCTTATAGACTAACGTATATATGAATTAATTTTATAAAACTAATTAATATAATAAAAGAATATGGATATATTGAAATGGTCCGTGTGATCACGGCACAGACGACGGCAATCTGCCACGGTAGACCACACTCTTCGGCCAGTAGTCCACCTTCATGTAAGTGGGGAGCATGTTGGTAGGAACCCGGGCCAATAGGCAGTAATATCAATTATAAATTGAGAAAATCTCTTCGCTATTGCTTGAACGATAGGAAAATATTACGAAAATATGAATAAATATGAACAAACAAACAAATACATATAGATTTTTATTAAATATACAACACTAACTGTCTCTCAAGAGTTTTGGTACAGGCTACGATTTATTTATAATTGAGGTTTTTAAAATCAATTTCTTAGTGGATATTTCCTTTGAATGTCATTTCAAATTAGTGTTTGCCATTAAACTCCTACGAAATCTACTGAGTGAATTTCATGAAATTTTTGATGTATATTTTTTGTAGGTCCATGAATAGGTTGCATGCTATTTTGTTATATCCCTAAGCAAAAGGTTTTCCAGGTTAGCTACTTTATACACTAATACATATTTTTGTATAAATTAATTGCTGTTGTATAAATAAATATTACTATTTTTAAAATATTGACACAATAGAAATACTGTTTTTTGTTTGTGAAATAAACTATATATAAGCATTTTTGAATAGTCAAATAATATTTTTTGGTTTCTACCACTCATTTGGTAAGCAAATTCACAAGAAGAACTATCAAGAAATTTGCGTATTGCTCTTTTGAATAAATGTTGTTTATCGTTTACAACTATAATGAACTTATGTAATATTGATTCTATCTTGCCCCTTCTTCTAGTCATCTTGTCAAGTGTTTACTCACTAGAAGAATGGGCAAGATTCCTGCGTATTGCTCTTTTAACTAAATGTTGTTTATCTATGCATATAAATAAAATTGGAGTGTCTGTTTGTAATATTGAAATGACCGTTTTTTACTACATGCATATGAATATAAATAGGGTACATAGACCAAAATAACATTTTTCAGAATTTTTGTCTTTCTGTCTGTTAGTTCCGACTAATCTCTGAAATGGCTGAACCGATTTTGACGGGACTTTTTTTTGGCTGGTGATATAATAAGGAGTAACTTAGGCTACTTTTATTTTAGAAAAGTAAAGTTTAATAAGTTTATAAATATAATTATACCATGTGCGCTGTAGCATGGTGCGGGTGACAGTTTAATTAACGTTTCGTTTCACTATTAAAATTTGCCGCGATTACAAATTATGACTTAGTATTTCAGCTGTACACATTGGTAATATATTATATCATTAATAACTTAAATGTAGCAATTGTTAAATGTAAAATTAGTAACTGTCAGTCGCACCACGCTACAGCGCACACAGAACATATTTATATCATAGTTTAGTGTAATTACCTGATTTAACAATTGTTCATATGTTATAGTAACATTTTCGTGGACTGACCGTATGGCTACTCTTCCGGGGTATTTGTGCGCAGTCTCCGCCAGCACGTCTCCAAATGTCGCAATAGTCAGCGGTTCAGTTCCCGGGTTGTTCAGATAGCTGTCCTTAACACCTGATTGGATTTGACGGACTGCCCTAAAACACAAGAACATGTATTTATTTTTAAATTAATTGACGGCCTCGATGATTTATCTGTTTAGCACACTGCTTCCTTCCGATGGTCGCGGGTTCGATTGCACGGTGCAATAATGTATGTATAAATATGTGTGATTGTTTGTATCGGTTGTAGAGTTCTAAATACATAAGGTAAATATGTTTTAATTTGAATTTTCATGCATGTTATTTGAATTTTCATAAAGAACAAATATCTGAATGCAAAACTAAGTTTGTTTATAGCGATTTCTCTCAAAGAAATAATTATGATAGGCATATAGCACAGACACCGGATATCATTGCACTGCTGCAGACTTGGAGGTGGACATATATATATATATATATATGAATTGAGCAGTCTGTATTACTAATATTGCTTATAACTTGTTTATTGACATAATATGACGGTATCTGTGGTGTAGCGGTTTAGCACACCGCTTTACTTCTGAAGGTCGCGGGTTCCATTCCCCACACGGCACAAATATTTGTATTCGTGAGTATGATTATTTGTATAGGTCTGAGTTTTACTATGTATATTTAAAAAAAGTATGTGTATTTCTAACAGTCATCAAGTGCCCATAACAAGGTCTGCTTAGCTTGGGTCTAGATGGCGCTGTGTAAATTGTCCAGAAATATTATATTATGATATGAAATAATAACCGCATCATAATCGATCTATTTGTTTAAGAAGCTACGATGCTACAGACAAACACACAAGCACATCCTACTTTTACTTATTTTTGAATCGGGGATTCGAAATAAGAAAAGAAAACAAAATAAGCAGACATACATCTCTACATGCATACTTAAGTTAAGAAATAATGAAAGAATAGATAAAAAGATTAGAAAAATATATATTTATTAGAAGTTAGATACAGTAACAAATGACGTATCCATCAGGCAGGAGTTGACCTTCAGCCGCTCCATAAGTCCCTCCGCGCTCTGGAGTGCCAGCTGCACTCACCCCCTATCGTTCGGTAAAGCTGCAAAGGCCAGCTGCGACCAACAGCATTAGAATAGTTCGGAAAAAACTAACAAATAATAGGTTATGAAAATAATATCACGAATATGAACATATTACATATTTTCATTTAGTGAAAATATTTTTTAAATATGATTAATAGAATATATCTATTTTTTATTCGTAGATATGTAGACTTACCTCAATTTCTTTGAGTAATTCACATTTTTAACACTAAATGCAATTCTTAAACTCCACATTGTAGTAGTGTATGCGTCTGCGCACAATATGAGTATGAATGATAGCGCGGTCCGTCATAGCAATGACAATGATATCTCGCCAGTTATCTGTACCCCACTACAGTTACTACACCAACAATTAAAACAACTACGTATTCATTTACTATACGTAATTTATATTGATACTAGCCGGGCCGCAAACGTTGTTGCTTATTTGTGTTCGTTTTTACAAATTTATATCCGAATAAAAATTGGGGTTGGTTATAGAAGTTTGAAAATGTAGGGTTGTATGTATTATTTAATGTCACTTTATAAAAAATAAAAAATAAATTAAATGCTGATTTATCAACTGAATAGCATATAAAATTTCATAAAAACTATCTAAGCGATATTTATATATTAAATATATGTACTCTACTTTTGACTACCGATTGACTGATTTATCAACAGACTATCTAAGCGTAATTAGTTAATTAATAAATGAGGAAAACTATCATATCACGATGTCGATAGTGTAGCGGTTTAGCACACCGCTTTGCATCCGATGGTCGCGTGTTCGATTCCTCGCACGATACCCAACATTTGTATTCATGAGTATGATTGTTTGTATTAGTCTGGGTGTTTTATATGAATTATAAATTATAATCCATGATTATAGAAATAAAGAGAATCTTGGCATTTCTACTAAGATTGCGTTTATGATGTGAACATTTATTTACTAATAACTTATTTTTTTTAATACTATGTGAGTACTACACGTTGACTAATATCAATATTAAAGTTTTCAAATAAACCTTATGTTTATATGAACTCTTACTAATAAAACATACGAGTATTGGGCAAGCAGATATTTTATAGAGCGGTATTATATATGTGATATATAAAAAAAACCAAATGCAGTACTGTATTTTCTTTAAATGCACTAGAAACTTAAATGTAATTAATATACATGGTCAGTTAAAGATTTGTTTCGAGTAGTTACCGACAACATAGAGGAAAATATACATAGAGAGAACATAGAGTCTTTAACGTAAAGGAAAATCATGTGATTTATTATTATTAATATTTATATATTCGTATGTAGTTAGAGGTATTTATTAATCGAACAAATATATCTACAACAACGAGTGCTAAACAAGATATTAAAACAAAAAAATGGGCACTTTTTTTAAATAACAATAATAAATATCACGGTTATAACTGTTAATAATTAAGAGTGGAAGAAATTAATTCTTTCTCACTATGCAACTAAGACCACCGTCTTACTATCTCTGTGACATTCCATCTGTTAGTTGTAGTACATAAGTTAATGCTGATTCTGTTGAAGTTTAGGAATGTTTAGTACTGTACAGGTATAAGCTATGTTGTACAATTTTTCTTTTACTTCAATTGTCTACCATGTCATTGTAAATATATCTATCTAGTTCTCAATCATTAATTTACTGATTTAATTCAATTTTCAATCATTAAATTACTAATCCCTTTTCTCTTACCCAAGATACATTTATATTGCTTTCATTTGCGGTTTTATTACGATATCATCAATTTGCTTCACATAAGTCGTTCGAAAATAACGACCTTATTCCAGAAGCTAGCATGTTTATTTATCAACCATATTATTAGAGTTCAGTTGCAGTGTAACTGCGCTATAAAATATCGCTACAACAAAATTTCAGTTTACTTAAACTCTGCTCTGCATTTAGTAGCCCAGGTCATGTTCCAAGAGTTACACCATGGTCAAGCCTTCGTATTCTTTCAATATCTGATCTTGAATCGAGGCCGCCTCCCCTGCGGAAGTGGCGCGTGGCGCGCACGCGACTACCCCCAGCTGCCTCCCCTGAAACCCCCTCTCCTGGACGCCCCCTGTGACAAAACATGCAAATTCGCCCGACCTCCTAAGACCGTGATATAGATCGTGAAAATGCGTTCGAAACGTGTTTTTCCGCCTGCCGACTGCGTTGAGAATGAACCTGATGGGTTGGAAGGTCGGGGTTGTCGTCCTTCCATCATTTGTTATAATGATTGGTTCAACATAGGAATGGTGCCCTTGAAAAAAGTGTTTTTTTAAGTGTAATGCAATATTCTTTATACCGTAAATAGGGAATATTTGTTTCTAAATCTATGTAAATACAGCGAGAGTTTGTATAAAGACGTCTATAATGAATTTTACAAATAATAATAATAACCCAAGACAATTACTTATGTTATATGACTATTTTAATATACATATAAAATAATAATAACAATAATAATAAAAATTACCCTGGATAATCCACAGCGCCAAGGCAAGCACAGCTGGTGTTTTTGTGTAGACCGATAACTGGTAACTGATACGAACACTTGCAGTATTTTTTTAAATGTAGACAAAACACCCCAAACATAAAACCATACTCATGAATAGAAATACTTATAACGTGCGAGGAATCGAACTCGCGACTATAGAACGTAAAGCTGCAGTACTTCCAATTTACCACATGAGAGCAACCATCACACGGTCCCCTGGAAATCATCGAGGGTAAGATCTTATCGATTCGCCACGAGGAACTAACTGACATAATTTTATGCTCATCCTATCATCCTCTACTGGTCCACTGTTGGTGTATATCGTATTTCGATTTTTTTTATGGATGATAATGGAATAGCACCATTTCATTATCATCCATAAAAAACGGTACCTTTAGAACAATTTTTTTTAAATTGTTATATTTTTTTGATAATCTTTTAAATTATAATACATATACTATTCCAAATATTATAAATACTATTCCAAATGTAGAATTTTGAAAACTACATTGTATAATCAAGCTCACGAACTAATTTCAAAACCTTCACCTTTCAGGAAAACGTTGCTGAATGACTGTAATTTGGTAAGGTTTAACCACGGTGGAGTGAGATACCGTAGCTTTTTGGTCAGTAATACACTTGCAATAAAGGAGTTTCTGCTGCATCTACATATTACATAGATAAAGCAATCGCTTACCATCAGAGCTCGTGACTATTCATTAAATACCTGTACCTATTTAAGTAACAGAATGGTATTTTCGTAAGGGTTCATAGTTTTTCCGTGAGTACTTGGAATAGAATAGAATAGAATAGAATGCCATGATCAAGGTTTAGTAAAGCACTAAAACCTGTTTATATATATAAATATCAATTACCATGATTTAATCGACATACTCGGTACATCCGGGAGTAATATATAGTATAGTCAAAGTGTATTTTATTGTATAAGTATATTAGATAAAAAGCTTGATTATTCCCAATTTACATATGTTTGCAAAACTCCTGTTGGGGCTTGTTATGTATGTGGGCATATGGGCGACGATTCTAATTTAACATGAGGTTTAATTTCAACTTGTTTCTAAGCAGTTAAAAGTCAACATTAAGAAAGAAAGTTATCTCTGTATCTGAACAATGAGTTTGTATACTAAGTACTGGACTTTACCGATGAATAATCAAATGTTCCACTGAATTTATTATCTTTATTACATTAATATGGTTTTTGTTTATAATTATATAAATAAATTAAAATAATAATAATCAAGTCGACTTTTAATTGGACAACTGTAGCTTATTATTAACATTTTTGTTTATCTTACTTATAAAAAATTTGATACGTATATTTTCGAATACCCAAATAGATAAGTACAGGCTACATCACGAATTGAACTATAAAATATGCATATACTTTTTGTATTACAGAAATCTTAAATTTAAATAAATAATACACTGTATTGATTACGATTATACCAGATTATTGATGTAGGATTATACCAGATACTCGTAGTTGTGATCATATCTTGTTTTATTTTCTTTATTAACTATTTCAAAATTGTTATTTCAATTAATAAGATCTGGTAATATATTTATTTATTAACGTTTAAAAAAAACATAAGAATACATAAGATTGTTATCAGATCATTATCATATCAGTAATCTGCGATTAAAGGGAGCGCTCCCTAAAACAAAAGTAAAATGGGTCAATGCATGAGACATTCTGAGACGTCGTTCGAAGTTTGTTTTGTAAATCTAGCACCGCGCAAAGTCGCCTTTATATATTCGTATCATGCAAGAAATCGGCTGGTGCTACGCAACCGTGCCGCAGTCATGCTCCGTCCGCCTAGCGAGCAACATTCGCCAGGCATGACATCCCGACCCAGTGTAGTGGTATAGGACTGTGACCAGTGAGTAGATGCAGTGAGGATGTCTCAGGCTCCCGGCGGCAAGAAGGGCGGGAAAGGGCCCCCCAAGAAAGCGGCCGACGAGGAGAAAACTGCGCCGGCCAAAGCAGCCGAAGACAAAGATGAGACATCCTCTAACAATGGAGATAAGAAAGAAGTTAAGGAGGGAAATGGTGAGCTGGTCCCCAAACCGCCCAGCGCTGGGATTAATATGCGGGAAGTGGCCAGCAAGATCCTGGTGCTGGCGCAGAAGGGCGAGTGGTCAGCGGTGGAGCAAACGCTCAAGGTGCTGGAGAAACTGGTCGCTGCTGGTGGTGAAGACTCAGTCACTGTGCCCATGGCGGGAATCTTAGATCCGGTAATTATTCTTTATTTGTGACTTAATCAGTTCACGACATATTGGGTCAAGCGTGACTTGAAAAATGTTATTAAGTTTTATGGGTGTGCGCCGAGGTTTCGTTGGAATTCTCTATTTATGTATTTGTTACTTTTTTAGGTAATTAATAACTCCGTCTTGATATAGATTACGACGAAATAAGGTTGTTTAAAGTGTCGGTATGTGTGTTCTTAAACTGGTTACTCATATTGCCTGCGAATTATATATAGATATGGGACCTCATTTTCTTCAGGTTTTCTTGACCAGTAAAATAAGGGTGTATTCGAAAATAATATATTTACAAGAAAAACAGCGTTGATCTTACTGATACACTCGAAAAATGGAGAAATTAACAAAAGCAATATAGATGATAAATCACGGTGATTTTTTATAGTAGCATTATTTTTAAATTTGTCCCAAGGGTAATTAATTATAAAGATTATTTGATTTGTATTATAAAAGTGTGTAAATTTGCAATTACCGATTGCACGTTATTTGTATGTGATTTTA